GGGTTTGAGATGCTTAATTTTGCCTTTTTATATTTGCTAGATATTAAACTCTTATCTTAAGTAGACTTGACAAAGATTTTCTTCCATCCTACGGGCTGCCAGTTTATTCTGTTGAAAGTTTCTTCTGCTACGCAGAAGCTTTTAATTTCATGAAGTCCCATTTGTCAGTTTTGGGGGATGCTTTCTATGCTAGTGTGGCTCAGAAACTGTTGCCTGTACCTATATCCTGAAGTATCTTCCTCTAGAAATGTTCAACATTTCAATATTAAAAATATAGAAACAAACTTTCCATCAAGCTGGAATTTTGATTTAGTTAAAAATAAAAATTGAATGGGTTTTTAAATATCTGTAATGGAAGCATGAGTTAGTCCTAAATAAGTACTAAGCTTTGTCAAAGTTTTATTACATTTTCCAAATCAGAAGAGAGAAGCGGGATGTGCCCATTGATGAGCAATAGCAAGCAATAGCGTGTTATACTAATCTTCTTATTGGAAGACCAATTTTAATCCTTGAGGCTTCCAAATTCATTCATAGTTTTGCTTTCGCAAGCCTCCCAGAATAGTGTATCCTTCCAGGCCCTATTGGGACAGCTATTCCTACATGAAGACCACCTATCTGCTCTTGACACGCAACCTCTAAATTCTCCCTGGACACTATTTTCCCAGAATCCTCAGCACCCAGGGAGGATATTGGCTTTTAGATGCTGTTCTCCTCTGGTTTATCCATGACAAGAGACCAAGGATTAAAAATGATTGTCACATGGCGTCTCATATGTAGATACGCATGCCACTTGGTTTGTCTCCGCTGTTTCTTCCGTATTAAATGCCTCTGAGCTCTCGATTTCCTTCCTCCACATACATGTCTTCTCTCTGTGGCTACCACTCAGCTATATGCCTCTGCTCCCTTTCCTGGAAATATAAAGAGTGGTTGGTGCCCGATTTTCTCTTTCTATGCCTCATGTCACTTCCGTTCCCCATCTTTAAGCTCTCTATTGGGGCGTGTGGGCTTCCTTAAATCTGTGGCATTTTTACAGCAATCAATTATCCTTTGTAATTACTCCCCAATTACAGACCCCTGTTCTTTCTCATTAGAGACCAGACATGCGCCTCTCATGGGCAGGTGCATCCGATCTCTTAGCCGCAATTTGGCAATCTGCAGATCGAAGCTTCAGAGCACATTCACTGAGGGGCACAATTTGAGGTATTTGTGCTTTTTCAGTTACGACAGCTGGCCTCTCTGAGCCCTCCCAGCAAATAGAGACTGAGCACTGCTTTCCTCTGGACTTCTGCTCTGGCTCCCCTAGTCTCTGCCGAATACAAAGGAGAACATTGGTTTGTGATTGAAGAGGCAAAGGAGGGCAGGTGTCACACAACCTTAAAATCCCTGGCCCAGCTGAGCTCTTTCTCCTAGCTCCCAGGTATCTTAGTAACAGATATCCACGCTGTCATTCTGTGGCTGTAAAATTAAGCTAATGGCCCTCTCTCATTACTTCTAGTTACACTGAGCTTTTAAAACTCGTCCCTTTGGTGTGTGCCCTTTATTGGTTGATGTTATTTTTTGCTGTTACAAAAGTGATTTCCTGTTTTATCAGACAGTTTCCCTAAGAATATACATGTTCCGAGCTCATGCACTGCATACTTAAAATTTCAGATGTGTGGAGCCTGAGCATTTGAGAAGAGCGTGCCTCTTTAGAACCGTGATTTAAAATTCCACTCAGCAGCCCTTTGGAGATGTAAATTGAGGGAGCTGATCTCCTTTTGGACAGCTTAATGATCTGTGGTTAATCGTAAGAGGCTGATGGGCAGATGCAGTACAGCTGGGCTTAGGTTAGCCTTCCCCAGTTCTCCAAATGCCAAGGTGATTACAGCCATCAAGACCCAGAATCCAGGCAGGAAGCAAAAGCACAAAGAGTTGGCAGCAGGCTGTCAGTATGCCCCACCTACCTGGACCCAGACACACACAGCTCCTAGAACTCTGGAGGAAGAGTGCTGGACTTAGGACCAGTTTCTCTCCCTACTTGCACACAATGTCACTAAATCCATAAAAATAATAAGTATAGTTTCTTGAAGATAGACAATGAGCATGAGAGGAGAAGGAAACCTTAAGGTGTGGGACAGTGCAGGAGGTAATAGAATACACGTGATGGGAAAGCAGAAGGGGACCAGTGGGGAAAGAGATGGAACAAGTCAGAGGGGAACAGAGGACAGGGGAGACGACTGGAGAAATGGATCAAGGAAAACAACATTTGTATGAGAATACCGTAATGAAACCCATTAGGAAGGAAGAAAAGGAGGGAGGGAAGAAGGAAGGCAGGGAGGGAGGAAAAGATGAATGGAGGGAAGGAGGGAGGAAGAGAGGAAGCAAGCTTTGAGGAATAAAATGTGAATTTGAGAGTTAAACAGTGTATTGTTACCGAAGGCACTTGCTAAGTGTGAAAAGTTGGCTTAGGGCTAGGGGATGGCTCAGTGGGTACAACATACAATCATGATAGTCATGGGGCTGAGCCCCAGAACCCACATAAAAACCAGATGCAGTAGCACAGTGTCTGTAATCTTAGTGTATCTGTTCTGGGAGACGGAAGATGGAGACATGAGAAAATATCCAAAACTAGGGAGCCATAGTTAGCCTGGCTTATGCTTGAGACTTGTCTCAAGGTGGAAAGTGAGGACTGGCAGCCTTGGCTGTCCCCCGACCTCTACATACGTGCTGAAGTTTGTATGTGCCAGAGAGAGAGAAAGAGAGAGAGAGAGAGTTTCAGAATTACTGTGTGTGACCCCACATACAGTTACAATTTTCAGTATATTTTTATCTTTCCTCAAGAAACCCTGGTGAATTCAACAAATCTCCCAACAGTAACTAAAGCAATCCCATCCAAAACACAACCAAAAGACTTGAATAGACAATTCACCGGAGAAGCACACGAAGAGAGTCTAGATCACTCAACAGAGAGCACACATTAAAAGCACAGGGTATTACTGCCACGTCTTTTAGGAAGACTGACCTCAAGAGCCAGAAAAACACAAGTCAGCTTCAGCGGGCTGGGACAATGGAAACCAGAGAGTCCATGGCAGCCTGGGTAACAGGGAAAGCCTGTCTCTAAAACAAGCAGAAATCATAAACGTTGGTGAGAATGTGGAGAAACCGCAACCTTTGTGTGATGTTGGTAGGTGTGTAAAAAATCACATAGTCGTTGTAGACAGTAGTTCAGCAATTTCTCAAAAGTTAAAATTATATCAACCGTATGGCCCAGTGATTCTGCTTTTAGGTACGTACCTCAAACAACAGAAAACAGCATCTTAAAGAAGTATCTGTGCACCTGTGTCTCTAGCAGAACTATTCACAATAGCCAAAAGGTAGAAACAACCCAGGTCTCCACAGGATCACTACATAAACACAATGCAGTGAATGCTGTACCTGAAACAGTTCAATTGACAGAGACCAAAACAGGGTGGTGGTTGTCAGGGGTGAGGAAAGAGAGAATGGGGAGTTACTATTTAGTGAAGAGCTTTGGTTTTACACAATGAAAGAGTTCTGAGGAATCAATGATGGTAATTGGTCCACAACAATGTGAAAACAATTAAGAACATAGAGATGTTTATGTCTCAGAGAAGGCTAACATGGTTTTAAGTTACACAATTATGTGCTTCACCATAATATTTTAAAAACCATACATTTCGATCCAGCTGTAATCCCTTAAAACTATAATAACAACCAATCTAGCAAGAAATGTCCATGAGTGCAATAGTGGCATGAATGTTAGGGAGGTGAACATCTGGTTTCCAGTTAGATTGAAAGCATGCTCTACAGGAGGAAATACATGCCTAGCATCTCATCAGGAACCCATGGCTGGGGACCTCATAGGGCCCAGAGGTAAACTTACTACTATTTAATATGTTGCTAGGTTGACTTATTATCAGGCTGCCCTCCAAATTCCTATCTGTACACCCAGAGAGTATTGTAGCTCTCAGATCCCAATAAAGAAATTTCCTTGTTCCGAAAACACTGATTAACATAGAAACTCATAGCTAATCAAAGTACAGAGACTAAGTATCTGAGGAGTGCTCAGCCACAAATGACACATCTGTATCAGGACTGGTGCCTATCATGGGAGAGGATGTGGAAAGGTTGTAAAAGTCAGAGGTCAGGGAGGAGCAGATGGTGTCTTCTGGAGATGACAGGACTATTGTACTCATGAGCTCACATAGCCATGGTTGCCTACACCACCTACATGAGAAGAAAACCAGTCTACATCCTATAACAGAGTATGGAGGGACTCAGAACCTCTTCCCTAGGTGAGGACCTATTGATAATGGTGACCTCTACGGAAGGAAGAGAAAGTTTACTTTAAGGGTGTGGTCCCCTAGTAGGTCGACCATGCTCCAGTGAATGGCTCCACCCCGTAAGTGTGTGGTAGCCCAAACTGGACTCAGTTGTACTAAAAAAAAAAGAAGACATAAAGTTGGAAGACTTCATGTAAGGGGTGTGGGATGGATATGGGAAGACAAGGGGAGGAGTGAAAGTAAATATGATCAAAATATACTGTCTGCATATATGAAATTCTCAAAGAATTAATAAAATAGTGTGTTTAAAAACATAATAAATAAGAAGGTTAAAGAGATGGCTGAGAAGTTAAGAGCACTGGTTCCTCTTCTGGGGGACCTTGGTCCGATTCAACTACATCGCAGCTCACCAATGTCTGTAACTCCAGTCACTGTGGATCTAATACTGTCTTCTGGCCTATGTGGGCACCAGACACCCACATGGTACACAGACATACATGCAGGCAAAACACCCATACACATAGAAATTAATTAACATTTAAAACCACATGTATAGCTAAAGCAAACAAAAACCTAGTGAGAGTGAGTGGCTATCCTCTGAAAAGCCTGGGCATTGGAGGAGCCAAAGGACAACAAAGGAGCAAAGCCAGAAGAGGGACTCGATCTTGTCTTCATAAAGAACTGATTGTAAATGTGTTTTGTTTTGTTTTTTTCTAACAGAGTCACTTTTCTCTCAAGAAGGGAGCTGCAGCCTTAGGAATCGGAACAGACAGCGTGATTCTCATTAAATGTGATGAGAGGTGAGCAATAAGTCTGCAATCCTATCGGCTGACAAGTTAAACATTCCCCACAGGTACCTCTTTTCTAAAAGGTGACTACTGTCAGCAATCCTGCTTAGGTCTCAGACACAGTAACACGCTGTTTCTTTGGAGCACAGACTTGCTTGGAGTCCCCAGATGTGTTCCTTGAAACCCTGGAGCTTTTCATAACTTCTGGATGAATTGGAACCTTTGTTAAATCAATCAAAACTGTCCTCAGGAGCTGGTGTGGAGGGACATTTATCACCAGGGCATATTAGCCACAGGCGATTGGAGCAGCATTTGATGCTGAGGTGGCACTTAGCTGTACGGGTTATGTAAACGTGCTAGAGTAAATGGTGCCCCATCAGCTCAGCAGCCTTGGGCAGCAACCAAAGAGCCCGCTTGGGGAAAGTCTGTAATTGACACCTAGAATTCATAGCTTTCTAGGAAATAAGTATGATACCACTGTGGGGAGAGCAGTAACCATCTTTAGGTTATCCACATGAAGTACCACTGACTGGTAAACCTGGAACTTATTGGAAATCAGATCCAATCTTTAAAGGATTAAGAACTTTCATTAAATTAAAAGACCGCAGGTCAATGAGCGATTTATAAGTTCAAAAGTGTTTATCAGGCATCTGTTCTCTGACTCACCAGGCTCCAGAAATCTCAGAGCAACATCTCAGTTCTCTGACAGCAGAGGGTGTAAGTGGGAAGAGGCCAGAGATTAGAAGGTAACTGTTGCATGGTTGGGTTTTCAGTGTAGGGTAGACTGCATGTGTTGCAGAGCTATAGGAAACTCAGTGAAGCAGACAGGAGGCGGGAATGTTATATGGGTAGGGGGAAGGAGGGGACAATTACAGAAGACAGAATACCTCAGCTACCAGGTGGGGGAAGGCAGGGATGTTACAGAAGACAAAATACCTCAGGTACCAGGTGGGGGAAGGCAGGGATGTTACAGAAGACAGAACACCTCAGCTACCAGGTGGGGAGACAACAGGGATGTTACAGAAGACAAAATACCTCAGGTACCGGGTGGGGGGAAGGCAGGGATGTTACAGAAGACAGAATACCTCAGCTACCAGGTGGGGGGACAACAGGGATGTTACAGAAGACAGAATACCTCAGGTACCAGGTGGGGGGAAGGCAGGGATGTTGCAGAAGACGGAATACCTCAGCTATCAGGTGGGGGGGACAACAGGGATGTTACAGAAGACAGAATACCTCAGGTTCAGCCACAGAAGGAAGTAGGATGGAACATATTACGAGGCACAAGAAGTGGGCCTGATCAGAGAAGGGAGAAAGAAATCCGTGGCAAATACGTTTGCCTACGTGGATGTGGACAGGTCTAAAACTGTAGAGTGGGGTTTCTGTCCTGCCTGGTTTCTGTCCTCCCACCAGATCCCACAGCCATTTAAAGCCAAAAGAAATCACACAAAAGTCTACATTAATGAAAAACTGATTGGTCCATTAGCTCAGGCTTCTTATTAACTCTTATAACTTATATTAATTTATTATTCTTATCTATGATAGCCTCATGACTCGGTACCATTTTCAGCAGCAGAATCACATCTTCCTTCTTCTGTGATTGGGACAGGATTAGGATGGAATGGGCTTCCTCATTCCCAGAATACTCCTGTTCTCATTGACCCACCTCTGCTTCCTGTCTGGTTGTCCTGCCTATACTTTCGGCCTGGCTACTGGCCAATCAGCATTCATTTAAAACGTAATTGACAGAATATAGACAATTGTCCCACACCATAAAACTGATTGACAGCTGCATTGACCTCTAAGTGGTGAGATTAAAGATTGCCACTTTATTGCCTGATTTTCTTTATTTACAATGAACACTGTATTTTTATAATGGGGGAGGGGCAGGCACAGCAGTGCATGGTTGTAACCCCCTCACTCAGGAATCTGAGGCAGGAGGGTTTCAGCTTCAAGACAATTGAGCTACATATAAAGACCTCATTTTAATCGAATGAAGGAAAGAGGGAGAGAGGCAAAGAAGAAGATGGAAATGTAAAGAGGGAGGGACAGACAGACAGACAGAGAAAGGAGCGAAATGTATGTGCTTTTTTTCCTTTGAGTGGGAGATAGCTGAACCTACCACTGTCTTGGATAGATCAACAAATAAGGCAACTTGAAAATGGTTTTCTCCGAACATGAAGTGACTGAGGCTGCCCTTCAGGAAGCAAGGGAGGGCCAGGAAAGGACTGTAGCAATAAGACAGGCAGGAAGTGATCAAGGCTAGCAGGACCGCAAGCATATCTCAGTGGAGGACCTGTTTTGTACTCCTTATTATGAGGTACATAAGAGCTAAAATTTGAATAGAAACAGGCAAAAAGAAAACATCAGCTTCATATTTATTTTCTTTATTGTATTGCTAGAATAAATTGCTGAGGATAAATGTATTTCTAACTAGAATGCAATAAAACATATAGAGGTAAATCTAAAGTAAGAAACCAAGAATTTAGAAAAGATCACCCAGGCAGACCCCAACCCTCTGGCCTCCTTAGTCACCAGCCTAGTTAACCGTTGTCCCAACATGGAATCCCAGTGGAATGACAGGTGACCTATGAAAGCATGGGGAGTTCTTGACTCCGTGCATTAAGGCATCAGTATTGCTGCTCCTGCTACACTGAAAAGTAGGTGTGACCATGTGCATGACCTTGTATGCGGTACCTGCAGCAAGGGTCCAACTGTCTGATGGCAGGTTAATCAGAGACGGTGTCATGCTCAGAAGGAGAGAGTAAACCTGGAAGAAGACAGAGCAAGAACAGAAAGAGGACATGATGCAGAGGAAGGGACCATAGACAGGCCTGCCTGCACAGACGCTCCAAAGGGTGTCATTAGCCAACAAGAAACAGAGAAAAGGGTAGGGAGAGGGGTTGCTGGGAAAGAACCCCAGAGAGATACAGAATCACGATCTGGCCAGGCATTCTTAACTTCAAAGTTAGTATTTTTTAATTTCAACTATTTTAGAAGCCATTTGAGAGGCTGACTGTGATGAGTCTTTTTCTGTACAACCAGCCAGCTCTCAGATAATGATATGGGGATTTTTAATTAATTATGAAAGTTTGCCTGTAGCTTAGACTTGTTCTTAAATAGCTCTTATAACTTAAATTAACTGATTTCTACTAGAGTACATTTTAGCATGTAGCTTTTACCTTTCTTTCATTTTGTGTGTCTGACTCCCTCCGCATCTTGTTGACATTTGCCCTGCGCCTCCATTATCTCCTGCTTTCTCCCTCTGTCTGGAAGTCCCCTGTACTTCCTGCCCAGCTACTGACCCTCCAGCTCTTTATTAAACCAATCACAGCACTGTATCTTCACACAGTGTGCAAATATCCCGCAACAACTGAACAATGCTGTGCGGTTTCACTGCTAGCTGCTCCTTCCTCATGTTTGTCCCCTTGGGAGCCAACAGACAGTGGGGTCCTGGGGCCTCTCCTCCTTCTGTTCTCAAGCCTTGTAGAAGGAAAGTGGGTGTGGGGTGGGGGTAGAAAACAGTATGAAAAAAAGGAAACAGATTTCGTTTCTAGGAAAGAGAAAAAGGATAAGACACATTTGGTGAGGAAACAAAGCCAGGTTGGGGGAGACTGCAAAGTGGGAAGTAAAGCAAAGAGGAAAATGGAGAGAAAAACACAGGATGTGGGGGACGGGAAATATAGCAGGAAATTCTAAAAGAATACATTATAATTTTACCACCAAAAGCAGCACTTTCTTACTTTTTTAAATAAGGAGAATTTTCCAACTAAAAACCTTTACTGTGGGGCCAGCTAGTGTCTAAACTGTGGAAGGTTCTTTTCTAAATATTTAGGTTCTTTCTTTCTTTTTTTTCCTTTTTTCTCCTTTCCTTTTATTCCCCCTTCTATTTGTGATCATGTTTTCTTTTTCTAAGTAGATATAATAATGTAAATATTTTCCCATGTTACTGAAACACATCTACACTGTAACAGGTAGTATTAGAAAGTACTCTAGTAAATCCACAGAGCTGGCAATGGAGTTCAGCTCACTGACCTCAAATCTCCACTCAAATGCTAGCTCGGACAAGTGCTTCTTTGTGCTTCAGTTTCTTTATCTGAAAAAAATAAAGATGGAATAAAGGATGCTTGCTTCATATAACAACAAAATTTCCCCCCTCCATGTATCTTGAATAAGATAGCACAAATATTAGTCTGCTAGTGTCTGTTAATATTGAGAGGTCAAAACCTGGAGGGGAGTGTTGAACCCAAGACAATTTGTGTATCTGTGCCTGTGTTCACATGAGCACACACACCTTGAACCAGAGGACAACCTCAGCTGCTGTTAACCTGTTTTTGAGGCCGGTCTCTCATTGGCCAGGAGCTCCCTGGTTAGGCGAGGCTGGCTGTACCCCAGCCTCTACATCACCACCCAGCACTGCCATCAAACAGTTCTTTCCTCTCCTTCATCCGGAGCCTTTCTTCTGCCGTGCTTTGCCTTCCGTGAGATGATTTGTTTTCTTCTTGTTTTAATTTCTTTTATTTCTACCTCACTACGTTGCCCAAACTGGCCTTCCTGCCTCAGTCTCCCAAGGGCTGGCATAGCAGGTGTGCTTAAGATCACCTGACTGTATTTCTGAGGGACTAGGTAATTTATTTGGATTGTCTGATTTTTCTCAGAATTCAAGTGATATTCAATTCAAGTGGGACAGAATTTCCTGGGAAGCGTGTCTTTCCTGGGAATCTCAGCAGGAGATTGGGCTCGTTATTAATAACATCAACTATGAATATTTTAAGATAATTGTTTATCTTTTCAGGGAGTACATGTCTTGAGGATGCTGTGTCCTGCAGCATTCAGGCTCTACTTCGTTCAGCATCCATTTTAATTGTTATCTGAATTGTTTAGATGGTTGCAAGACGGTTATTTCCTAACTCCATCCTTTCTTGTTTGTCTATTGATTCCTGCATTCTACGTGGGAGGGGGGAGCTCTCTGTGTCTTTGTGTCTCTGTTCTTTCTCTTGTTCTATCGCCCG